GGGGATTCGAACCCGCCACCTTAGGTGTATGTGGCTGGCGCCTTAGCTGCTTGAGCCACAGGCGCCAAGCCCTGTAGGCTGTTTATTTGCTTTATGGATTGTTTCCTTGGCTATGCAGAAATGTTTTAATTTAATCATGGCCCATTTATTAATTTGTGTTGTTAATGTGATTGCCTTTGAGGTCTTCTTCATAAATTCTTTGCCTGGACCAATATCTAGAAGAGTTTTTCCAACATTTTCTTCTAGAATTCTTATCGTTTCATGCCTTAGGTTTAAGTCTGCTATCCACTGTGAACTGATTTTTGTGAGTGGAGAGAAATGTGGATCCTGTTTCAGTCTTCTACACATGGCCATCCAATTTTCCCAGCAGCAGGTATTGAATAGGGATTCTTTTCCCTGATGTATGTTTTGTCTGCTTTGTCAAAGATCAGATGTCGATAGTTTTATATCTGGGTCCTCTGTTCTGATCTTTGAGTGTTTTAAAGTCCTGAAACACATCATTAATCTCTCTTTTGTTTGAAACATGGATAAAGAGTGTTACTAGTATAGCTAATGCTTTTTAAAACTTAATAAAAATTTCTTTAACCTTAACATGTAATCATTTTTGTAAACTTTCAGTAGTATTAGAAAATATTAGCAGGCAGTGCCTGTGATTAAGTGGGTAGGGTACCGGCCTCATATACCAAGGGTGGCAGGTTTGAACCCAGCCAAACTGCAACAAAAAATAGCCAGGCGTTGTGGCAGGTGCCTGTAGTCCCAGCTACTCGGGAGGCTGAGGCAAAGAGAATCACCTAAGCCCAGGAGCTGGAGGTTGCTGTGAGCTGTGATGCCACAGCGCTCTACCGAGGGTGATAATGTTAGACTCTGTCTCTTAAAAAAAGAAAAAAAAGAAAATATTAGCTATCTCTATAAAACATAGGATATAGTATATAGCTATTAATTGCAGAAATTATATTATTCATGTTATATAAACACACTTATTTCTACTTTGTATTTGCTAGTAAACAAATTAAACACTAAACATCTTGTTATTTCTCTTAGTTTCTTCTCACATTTATAGTAGTTTTTGATACATACACAAGCACATATGTGCATATCTATGTTTTTTTGTTATGTTTATGTTTGCTCCTTATTATTATAGGATATTTGAGATTGATTGGGGCTTTTGAAGAGTGTAATAGCATTTTGTTCACTTAAAGTAGAACAAAACAATAAGACTTGATCTTTGAAGCATTAATACTTGGAGA